CGTCCGGCTGCCTCTGTATCCCAACCCCCCCTGCGTTATTGTTATTGTTAATATTGTTGTGGCGTTGGTACCAAGCTTGTTCTCAAGCCGGTGTTAAATATATATGTATATATATATGTGTGTGTATGTGTGTGTGTGCCCCACCAGATTCGTGCGATGCTGCGTAGACAGCGATGTTCAGACACCGACAGTCTATTTTTATCCTGTTTTCCTAATGGCCAAGTTTCTGCTCCATATTGCAGAACTGGCCGAACTGCTTCGGCATACACTCGACTCTTCACTGACAGTTGGATTTCGCTGCGGGNGGTCACAGATGTTTCAAGTTGACAAATGCCAACCGAGCCTTCTGTGTGTGAGCTGACACTTCATCCGTGATGCGTCCACCGGGTGAGATGTAGCTGCTCAAATAACAAAACTTATCCACTTGTTCTATTACTTCCCCGGTTGGAGTGAGGCTGGGTGATGGACCAGCCCCGTCTTATAGTAACATTTTACACTTTGAAGGTGCAAAACGCATACCGAACATGGCTACGCCGGCACTCAAGCTATCCAGAAAAGCTTGTAACTTACCTGCATCTGTGCTTAGCAGCAAGATGTCGTCTGCATACTTCAGATGAGACAGTCGTAAATTAAATGTTAGCGAAGCATTTCACCCCGTGTAGGGTTCGTGGTTGGTTTCAGTTTCAGTTTTTTACAACCCTTAACCATGCACCTTCGTGCGGCGGTTTTGGTTGCTGTCTTTTGTCTGCCCATTCGGATAAAAGAGCAGAATGAAGATTGGAATTTTGGGAGCAAGTTCAAGCGGAAGATAGAGAATTCATATAGACTGATGTTCAAAGAATAATGAGTAGATGCATGAGTGCCACTGTTTGCGACACCCAGTCATATCGCTCAGTGTCTCCAACCACCGGTGACCATGGTTTCGGGGTCCCCAGCCGGGGAGCCTAACGGGACCTATATAACCCAGCCTTCTGGCTAAGGTTTTAATTTAACCGCCCGTCCGTGGTCGACTATCAAGGCAATTTCGTCGTCGGATGCTAACCATTGCAGAAGCAGTAGGAATATGTCTGCACGCGGAACCCCTTTATCTTTGCCCTTAAAACAATTTCTTCAGGCGCTTAAGCTCATCTGACTGGATCCATACCGACTCCACATCCAGAAAAAACCTCGATGATCGAATGAATAAACAATTAACTACATGACCATTATGAATATCACCTTCATTCTCACAATATAAATAATACTACTAATCCATAATGCAAATCTTTTCTTCCCAAAAGCACTTCTCTATCTGTTTAGTGAAATGATTTTGCAATGTGTTGATATGATTAGGAACCACTGAGGTGAAGATTGTTCGCCACACTGTGTCATGTTTGAAATATGCTCTGTAGTACTGTTCAGATTATCATTATTTTCACTGGTCTAACATCTGATTTGAGCTCGAGGAGTTACTTTTGATTGTCGCTGTAACTCTTTTCAGTCATGACCGCACATAGTTTAACAAACGACCGCTTGCTTCGCACGAAATTGTTGGATGATAACGGAAATATCAGGTCTCAAGCCACACGCACGATATATAGGCTGAACAAACGGAAAGAGGTTCCGCACGACTCGGCCCATATCAAGTCTCAGTTCATTCACAATTCTGTGAGTTAATAAATTCTCACACATGCTAATTTTTGACGGTGCTTTATTTTTTGGGTGATGGTGCTCAAACCCTTCAGGTCAGCTTTACAGCGATCCGAAGGTTGTGAGTTTGAATCCTCCTACAACCACACGGTTTTCCCACTTCTATGCGTCCCCAGACAGCCTTTAATCGATCGCAACGCCCTTCGGAAAATTATGTGTATCATCAACCATTTAGTAGATATAAAGAAGCAAATGATCTTTATCATCATTATATATGACCTTTTATTACGCTGAATATTGGAAATTATCTAATTGTTTTAGGTGTTTTGTTGGGCAATGTTACCTTCGAAACATTGGGTTCCCTCTTTCCAATTCGTTAAGACATAAAGAAGATATGCTGCGAGATGGTAATACTTTTTCTAATCTCCTCAGTCGTTACAACGTAAATAATCTGGCATTTGAAACATTGGGTCCCCTTTATCCAATTCGTTAGAACCGAAAGAAGACAAATACTGCGAGATGTTAACATTTCTTTTAATCTCTTCAGTCGCTACAACGTAAAACAATCTGGTATTTATAGAAGCAAGATTTGATAACTACAGTGGTGAAACGAACAATAGTTAGGGAAGCAGGGGAGGGGGTGGGTTGGGAAATCAGGTCCATGGCAGTCTAACTG